ACGTATATGTTGATGAGAGTGTTGCAGATGAAAACATCATTGGTGAAACCAGTTTTGTAGATTTGTAGGTGAAGGTGATTGGCATCGTTTAAGGAAGAAGATGTTTTGTATGAATCAAAAGGTTGAAATTGAGAATGGGAAAATAATGTGTAGTGCCGAAGAAAAGTGTAGGTAGAAAGAACATGTGTTGATTTGAATTTGTTTAAAACATGCTTATAGTAGAGTATCATAATTTAAACGTTATTTGCAAAATTCATGTTTCACAAAATCTCTATATTAATTTTTCAGGTAAAAGTTGCTGCAATTAGAAAAATATTCATGTCACTATGTTGCTTGATGGGTTGGGCTGGGCCCATTTATATTCTAATCCAATTTTTTTTTTTTAAATGGAAAAGTTGGTAAAGTTAGTATTAGTTATTTTATTTTACTTTTTTAAAATGTTAATTTATAAATATCAACACATTATTTATATTAATGCATAAATATAAATAAATGTTACTGACAAAGATCGAAATTTGGACTTGAAAATTATATTCATTCAACTCAACTACCACATATTAGTTAAGTTGTCACATCCACCCATTTTTATTCTAATTTTATTATTTAATCAATATTACATGTACAAAATTAATTCGATAAATCTATGTGTTCCGTTTGGGAACTAGAAATGGAGTGAGTATCGAAAGTAATGGTGGTTCTGAGATTTCGATGCGGTGAAGAGGAAACTGACCTATAAGATTATTAATATGCGAGGAAGAGTGACTTCAAATTGTGTTTGAAACATGTTACCAAATTTTGATGTCTTCTCTATATATAGTAGAAGAGGATAACAAACTCGTTATTTGTTAGGAGTGAAGTGCAGAGAGTCGTTGGATGTGAATGTAGTTTAGATTTTTTGTGGTCATTAAAATGAGAGTCCTCATGTGTTGGGAAGATTTTAGAAGAAACGTAATTCACTCAGAGTGGTCGGACGGGGTCTCTATAGTCAGTACAAATAGTTTTCCCCTAAGCCCGCGTCTCTGCATTGCAAGGCAAAGGTTTGTTACTTTAGTCTCGGCTGCCAACCACTCTTGTCTTTATGTTTGGAAAGCAAAAGGGAAACATTTCAATTTCTTGGGGATTCACATTTTTAATGCTCCATACTTCAAATGTCTTTTCAGAAGTGTCATCATTGCGATTGTTGAGAACCGAAATGCTTGAGTTTTGTGTGCGAGTGATTTGACATGTTAGATAGACTCTACTCCCTTTTCCTTGCTAGAGCATAGTTCTTGAAGAGTAAACATTGTTTTTCTTTAGTCATTTTCAAATTTTAGCGGCTATCTCCCTTTTTCAAACAGTTTTATTCCTAGCATTTGAAAACTTAGTGCAATATAGGTAAAAAAAATTATAGAAGAGAGCTTACAAATCTTAAAATAATGTTCCATCTTCTTGGGTTGATTTTGTCTACACTTTCATCGTTTCTTTTTTTTTTTCTTCAAAAAATGGCGGTCTTGATGGAGCTTTCCTTGAAATAGGACCATCCTCAGATTTGGGTGTATTGACTCTAATAGAGGATGAAAGGATATGCAGTAAATATGAAAATTGTGCCATCCTTTTTACGAGTGCACCTTCTTAGTTCTAGTTTTTCATCTTCCCTTCAGTGCCTTCGAAATAGAAGTCTTGAAGCCTCTAGTGATGTCTCATTCACAACTTCATCGAGCAAGTTAAGCGTATGTGAAGGTATATTAATATTGGTATGAATACTTGAAAGGGAAGCCTTATGCGACTCTTCTCGTTCACCTCTTCAAATGTCGTTGTGTCTTTGCGGCTCAGGTGTGAAACAGAGTGTTAATTTCTTTGGAGTCGAGTGTTCATGGATTTGGGCCTCTCACTGAATTACAAGATCAGTTCTTCCTGGTCACCCCTATCCTCTTGAATGCTCACACTACGATTTGCATCGTTAAGGACAGAATGGAGGGCAAACGTCTAATTTATTCCCTAAGTACTAGACGAAAAGTCACTTTCTAATGGGAAAACGAGTGTATGTTTGTAATGAGGAGGACCTTACTAAATAATTTGTATTAGAAGAAACAGATTATGAACTTCATCTGTGACATAGGTTACTTTGGGGAAGGTACCCCCATAGGCAAGCCCGACTAGAAACATTTCAAACGCCTCATTGATGTTCAATTACTGATGAATGCTTGTTCCTTGGGTGAAAGAAAAGTTATTTTTTGTAAGTTTTAAAAGTTCTAGGCTTCTTTGTCTTTAATTTGCTAGTCGATGCATATTTGTTTTCATAATGATTGTGTGTAGATTGGATGAAGGATGAAGTACAACTCTGACTTCAACTAAACGTAAAAAGCGTCTCCAACAACACCCCTCAATTTTGGTGAGGGGATTGATTGCTTTAGCCGGAAGTGCAAAGAATCTATGATAATACCCCCGACATTCGGTGGGGGATTGGTTTCTTTAGTCGGACGTGCAAAGCATCTCCGACAGCACCCCGATTTCTTTATGTCGGGTCTCGATGTTGTCGGTTGTACCACATATTTACTATTAATATGCATAGCCAAAAACAAATAAACATTTCAAAAATTAACACATTTCATTCATAAGTGAATACAACTCTTATATATTAGGAGGAAGATTATACAATAATAACATTTATTACATAACAAAATAGAAAACATAACTTGACGGGCTATCCGCCGCATATTTTCCCTGTTTTCTTCCTTATGGTTCACCCACGTCTTGGTGGGCGGATGTTCACCCCTTAAATTTGGCATTTGGGATGCCAAGTTGATCTTTATGACTACGTCATCTCCTTGGTCTTGCTGGAGAGATTTGTAGATTCTTTTTGCGCCTTCGAGATCAACATTTAGGATGGTCGATTTTCCCTACAAGTTATGGTATTTGAGTTTGAGGTGAACCTGAGAGGCTGCCGCTTCCAATATGGCACCGAAGGTTCGACCTACAATTGTACACGCTTCTGTGGGGAATAATAAGGAATTACGAATTGACTTCCCAAACATCATTCCTATCGCCCATTGATACTGTTATAAATGGAATCCTAAATATGTATTAGTGTTTCAATGGAATCCTTCAACATGATGGAATCGTTAGTGTTATGATTGTGACTTTTATGAAAGCGGAAGTATTTCGACGTGTTAGTCTAAGATATCTCTCTAACAGGGTAAAGGGGTTGGATTTCGCCCATCCTGAATTATGTGTTGCACAGTCTTGATAAATCTTCTCTTGAGAGACGTTTAAGGGCATGTACTTCTGGTACCGACTTTGAAAAGGTCGGTTAGAGTCGTCTCTCTGCCAATAGGACTTCTTCCCTCCCAGGCGGCTAGAGTTTATGGTAGCGTATGTGGGGGTTATTGAAGCACATGTTTAACTTCTCCTCTAAGATCATGTACAACTGATCCATGCTCAACATTTCTTGAGTGGGTCTCACCTTCTTCCTTCCAATCTTTAGCCTAAAGGGGTGATTATGCGGAAGGTCATTCTCAAAGATGCAGTACTTCAAGCCTTTCTCGGCTCCCTTCGCCTTAATAATAACTTGTGTGAAATAGAAATATAAGACTGCAAGCTTTCTTTATTTCCTTGAACAATCCCACTCAAGACAACAACAGTCATCGACTGTCTCTTTTGGAAATAAACTGCGCGAAGACCCATTCACAGAAATCTGTATGAGATTCAATGCTCCCACCCGACAGACCATTGAACCACGGCCTGGCTGGGTCGACCAGCGTTAATGAAAACATCTTGTGTTTGGATGTGTCGTCAGTGCTTAAATAGTTTATTCGATCATTGACTAGTTGTATGTGCTTGTTTGGATCTCCTTTCCATCACACTCACCTAGCTTAAGTAGTTTCTCTATGGATTTTGGTATCTTTCTTTAAAAAATCTTGGTGCACAACAGATGTTTCTGTTAGACCTTCAAAGTTTAGTTTTTTGTCTGATCCGGAGGAGGAACATGACTACCTTGGTCTCCCTTGGGACTTTGGAAAGGAATTCGATGTTTTTTAATCATCTAATGATGCTTATACTAAGAAGCTTCATCTCTTTTTGTCATGGTTTTCTCTGGACCGACAGTGTGCGCTCTTCAAGATATGGCATTTTAAATAGTTTTTGCCTCGTGGAGGCGTTCTTTAAGGCGAAGTAACATTTCTTATATATCTTGTGAGTTTTTTCTGCTAAATGATGTTATACATGTTGTTTAGCATCTTGTTATCGCCTTGTAGTCCAAGGTTAGCTCGTAGTAATTGGAAGTCAGGTAAGACTTCAGGTTGTGAGACTGCAAGTGGAGTTAAAGGAGCAATCAGAGGAGCTTGAATAGATCTAACTATTTAAGAAAATCCGATAAAATCTAGATGTAACAGAACTTCTTATCCATTATTCGCAGTGTTTCGCTAAAGAGGTAGAAGTGATTGATTAACTGCTACTTGAGATGCAACCGTAGTAGTAGCAGTAGTTTTTTGCACAATTACAGAGAGTCGTTAAACTGAATGCAGTTAAAATCTTTTGTGATCATCAAGATAAAAGTCCTCGTGTGTTGGGATGATTCTAGAAGAAAGATAATTCCAAAGTGATGAAGTCTTTATGGATGGAGCATAACGCTATCTTTTTCTTAACTTTTTTTATAACTTTTATTAAAATCTATAATAAATTTGTTGGAATTATGTCAACTTAATGTTGATTTATTCGATAAATTTTTAAATTTGAATTGTCATAATGATTTTTTTATTTTAAAATATTCAAAATTAAAATTGTTGAAAATTAATTTTATTTTTGAAAAATAACAAATTTTAGAAAACTAAAATTTATTTAGGTTAATTTTGATTTCATTCTTGTGGATTAAATAAATAACATGTTGTCCACCACGTGGACTCCATGTGATCAATGACATTGATAAAAAATCCAAAGAGATAGGATATTTGTGATAGATAGTAGATAGATGATGATGGCTCATAGTATCACTCAAGAACAAACCATTCAGTTCAACACAAAAAATGGCTTCAATCACCAAAGTGATTCTTCTTTATTCTCCTCTTACCTTCAAAACTTCATCTCTTCCTAAATCACCATCACTTTCTCACACCATTGTCTCTCCCAAAACAAGTCTCAAAGTTCATGCTCAATTAGGTAACACTCTTCAAACTCTAATTGTTTAAGCTTAATTCATGCAACCAATATATGGCTTAATTTGTATTAGGTGGTCGAGATGAAGAAACAAAGAAAGGAGAAAAAAAGAAATTCATAACCAAAGAACAAGAACCTGAACAGTATGTAGCACATGTTATAAGGTTTTTTTTTTTAATGTTTATGTATCTTATGTTTGAACGTATTGGATGATGATGACGCAGATATTGGCAATCCGCAGGAGAGAGAGAAGGAGAGAATCCAATGAAGACACCACTTCCTTACATTATCATATTTGGTATGTCAACTCCTTTTGTAATCTTAGCCATTGCTTTTGCAAATGGTTGGATTAAGGTACCTATTAGATAAGATCAATCAAACCAAACACTTCCTTAAATTCTGTCGTGTTCACCATATTTGCATTCTCACCAATTTTATTTTAAGCACTCGATTACAGTTACTTGTCAAGCTTTTAAGTAAATAATTTATTTACTTTATTTTTCTTTCATATATGTAACGTACAAACATTATGTAATAAATAAATATTCAATTCTATATAGATGATTGAGTTCCACTTGTGAAAACTGGTGAGTTGATCAGCATTGTTTGGGGAAGTTTTTTATGATATTTCCTTTGGAATTCTGAGGGAGGTGTATAGAAATCATCTTCATGCATCAATGTGTTATCGAAACTCTATGGTGGCGACAATGGTTCTTCATACTCAGATGATTGTGCTCTTACCGGGATGTAATCATGTGAATAATGAATCTATATGATTCTTATATTTTTCAACTTTTCATGAACTATTGTTTCTATATATCCACTATTTTGGAGTCATACTTGTGGTTGTTGAAATTGTGCCATCAATCAAGATTTTTGCAAGAATGGAAGAGCCTGCAGCCCGCCCTGAGGAAAAGTGGGTGAACTGCCTCAGTGGCATGGTTAGCTCAGCCTGTAGGGAAGGGTCCTAACTCGGCTCAAAGTGAAGGATCTAGGCCTATCAAGTTGACTTGACACTAGAGCTGAACAATCGGTCAATTTTGGATCTAAATCTAAAATCGGGCGCAAATTACAGTTTTATTTTTATGGTCAAATTTTAATTGATAAAATTTTGATTTTTGTCAGATTCGGTTAAATCAGTTTGATGATTAAGTCGGTTCGGTTTAGTCAGTTTAATATTTATTAGAACAAATTTATAAAATTGACTATTTTTTTAAAATTTTATTGTAAAAAATATTAAATATTTAAAATTGTTAAAGAATTATTATTATTTTTTATTATTAAAAAATTATTATTACGTGATAATATTTTTAATATTATCTTGACAATAATTTTGATCATTATCATTCTTTAAACTATAAACTAAATAATATTTAAAATTTTATATTGTATGTCTTGTATTTTTTAAAGTACACAATGACACAATTAAATTATAAAAATCATAATATCCTGCAATATTATGAATTTTATTTTTATAATGAGTCAGTCATATAATAATAAAAATAAATAAAATATATATTAATTAAGTTCAATTAGTTTCTTTTTCGACGGGTCCAAAATAAATATCTGACCCCGACCAAAGCAATCATATACTATTTAAATTAAACAATTGAATCAATTCGACACCCGACCTGATCTATTTACACAAAAAAAATAAAATAACGAATCGATCGATTTTAATCGGACGATTCAAATTTATCCACTCTTACTTCACACCATAGTGGAGGAGATAACCAAATAAAAATACTTTATCACATAAATAACCAATTCAAGATAGATTAATGATCATGGTCATGCTGAGATAAAGGAGCAACGATATTAATGGAAATTGATTAGTCTTTTATATATATATATATATATATATATATATATATATATATATATATATATATATATATATATATATATATATATATATATATATATATATATATATATATATATATATATATATATATATATATATATATATATATATATATATATATATATATATATATATATATATATATATATATATATATATATATATATATATATATATATATATATATATATATATATATATATATATATATATATATATATATATATATATATATATAATCAACATTGAAAAAAGAAGGCAAGTAACTCATACGCAAGAAATTCATAATATGACTGAGACTTTAGTGACTCGCACTAGTTAGGTTATATTTATGTACTTTTACACGTATATTTCTTGTCCACCGCAGGGCCAGTGAAACTAACTTGAGTCACACTCTTAAAAATCACATTGGCAGCCCCAACTTTAATTCATAATGATATGAGCGACATATAGTAGTTCCAACAACGAAAAATTTTCCATATCAGAGATGTTAGACGCTATGGAGGAGTTGCGTCATCAAAACGAAACTTTGCGGAACAACGTTTGTGTCTTGCAGCAGCAACAGATGCCACAGATTATCGACGAGCAAGAATAGTCCATAGATCATCAACCACTCTATTAAAATTGTGTTTGCTCTAATCACTGACATCATCAAACTGCCATCTCTAGCATTGTTCGTGACTTTAAAAGAAACCTCAAATTAACACTCAAATCAAACCGCATCTTCGCTATTATCACTAAAATTCTTATCATTGAAGTGACAAACTCATGAAAATGAAAGCTCATGTTCAAGTTTTTATAAGAGGCGTCCCTTTGGTGGTGTATGAGTCTCATGAGGTCCTCAATATCGAGCTTCCATGACCTGGCAAAAAATGATCCACCAATTCTCCACTAGCAAGCATCGCAAGGTGTTCATGACAAGCTAGTTCAATGTATGACAAGGGCATTCAGAGTCTTTGCGAGAGTATTTGGCCATGTTTAATGATGATACAATCAAAGTCTCCAATACGAAGCAATATATATTTTTTGGGGCCTTTCATAACAGCCTCAAGGTTGGACACTTCAACAAATCATTTCCCTATAAACCAACAATGTTGATGGAAGAGGTCATGACAAGGGTATAATTCTTTATCAAATGAGAAGAGAGCAATGTAAAGAAGAGAGCCTAAGATGCAAAGGAGTGAGGTGCATAAAATAAGAAACTTGCGATCACAAGAGGAATCAAATCATTATACAAGTAAGAGAAATGGTGCATTCACGCCCGCCCAAAGACCCTTGAAGAACTTTACACCATTCAACACAAGGAAAAAAATAGATTATGCATGAGATATATCATACTAGGGAAATTCCCGAACCCCTTTCCTCTAATGGAGACTTGAGGGGATGTGAATCCGTTAAATGGTACAAATACCAAAGGATAAAGGGTCACCGCATTGATTATTGTCATCGTTTAAATAGAGAGATCGAGAAACTCATCCAAGAGGGTTTTTTGCAAAGATACGTGCAGAGAGTCTCGCAAAGCTCAAAAAGAAGAACACCTCATCTAGAAAGAGATTTAGAGAACCCCATGACCAAGAAAGGGAAGAAGCCAAGAAGAAAAAAAATGATCCTGGACAAACACACCACACATTAAATACAATTGATATAGGCTTTGCAAGGATTGGTGAATCAAGTTCATCTCAAAAGAAATATGTTCGCCAAATAATGCACATTGATAACGTTTCACCAGAAGAAAAAGCAACTTCTTTGCCCGAAATTAGTTTTTCAAGCATAGACACGAACAAAGTCATATCACACAAGGATGATCCAATGGTCTCGGAAATGTTCAACTGAAACATCAAGAAGGTGCTTGTGAATCTCAGAAGCATACATAAACGTCATGATTTACAAGATGATAACAAAAAAATACCATGACAAAAAATTTGTTAAAAAGAATTGAATGTTGGACAACAAGTTTTGATGTTTAAGTCAAGATTGAGATTATTTTCAGGTAAATTTCAAGTCTCAATGAGTAGTTTTATTTGTGGTAAAAGTTGTAATACCAGATAAAACAATAGAATTACAAAAATCAAGATTCACTATCATTTACAAGATAAATATGTAGGTCGAGGATAAAAAATGTATCTTTAGAACTAATCCATTTTTTAGTTTGTCTAACTTCCTAAGACTTAGATAATCCAATTCATCTACAAAACTTAGATGATTCATTTCACTATGGATTAGACTTTAACCCAAATCAGAACAAAGTTAATGTAGTTATTCATTAAAATTTTAATCTTTTTACACTAAATATGATGCAAGTATCCAAAATAAAAAAAATCATTGTCTTGGTTGGATTAAGGTAGCCATTAGATGATGAAATCACACCAAACACTTTCTTGTCATGTCTTGTGTCCACGCTTCATGTTCACCAACTTTACTTTAAACAATTCACTAGTAATACTTCTTAAACTTGAATAAATAACTCCTTCCAAACATTATGTCATCCAAAGAGGACTAGTGCTATGAATATACTAACTGCCATGATAAATAAAATAACAATTCCTAAACTTGTTTACAAGAAAACAAATTCTTATAATTACCTATTCCAATCAATTTTCTACATATTAGATCAATGACCATAAAAAATGTTCTCAGAGAAAGTTCAATAGGAGATAGCAAAATGTTGCATTATCTTTCTCTGTGCAGAGACTTGTACATTACTGTAGTGACAAATTTTTGTTGAAACCTATGAGTTGACCTTAGTGCCACAAATTGTTCATCATCAGATTTGTGAATGTATAGATGATTCAAATCCACATGTGTTAAACTAGGGACTGAAACAGTACCAGCATCGCTCGTCGACGCGGCTTCTTGCGTTGTTGTAACCTGTAGTTGTGGTGGTAATTCTGGTACAGGCTTGTTGAAATCATCTTCATTTAGGAATATGTTATCGTAACTCGACGGAGGTGATGATGGATCTTCAGGATATTGTACTCTTAGCTGGGTATAATCCTGTATTAGTCGAAGTTACAATTAGTCTCACCCTCTAAACGTACATTACGTGGACAGGACTGTCTTTGAGGGCGGGTAAAACTGATTATCACTCGGTTAACCTACACTCCAGATACTACGCTGATACGAACATAGACACTAACACTAACATATGTATTATAGTTCATACATGTGAAACATTGATACGAACACTAACACTGACACGAGAAAAAGTAAAATTAAAAGTTACCTGCAAATCCAATATATTGTAGACATAACCCGAATCGTCAAAATCGTATGGAAGATCTGGGGCGTGTGTCCAATAACCATCTACGATGAAACGATAATGATAGATTCTTATTGGAAGTGTTTTCACAATCGCAAAGTGATGACTTACATTCTGCAAGGCCTCTCTGATAGAACAAAGTGTTAAAAAATGTTATGATATTGTATCTTTCGTCTCAAATATAAACTATGAAACACAGACACCTCTAAAGCTTCTGCCATGTGTCAGTGTAAACTATGAAGCATTGACAGCGGGAGAAAAAGTAGGTGTGTCCTATCACACCTCTAGACGTAGGTGTGTCTATAGCATTTTGTTACTAATGTCTGACACTTGTATGACACATGTTAAAAAAATCAGACAATTGTCTATGTGTCTTGATATTTGTGTCAGAGTTCGTGCTTCATAATATATAAGAAAAAAGTGATAAGGAAAGTTGATGTAATTACGTTGTTTCCCAGTTGTTCCATGAACCTGCAATAGCAACATTGGTACCTCCATGATTCCATATAATCCTCACACTTTTCAATCTTTCATGAACCATTGTTTCTACATATCTGTTATGCATCCATCGTTGTGGCGATTCAACTGCTCTCATCATTCCAGGAACCTTGAAATCATGTATTCGAAATTCAATTCTGGTTTTATTTTTGCATCAATCTGATTTTATATTAAAAAAACTTCAATTATTTTTTTCCTAGCTTCAACTTAAAGGTTCAATTTACACAAAAAATATCCATAATTTTTCTTAAAAAAAGAATAAAATAAAAAAGAATAATTGTTTCTAACCTGTTGCATGTCAAGAAGAATTTGAGAAGGCATAAAATTCATTTCTGGTTCATATTCATAATTATCATCATCATCATCTTCTTCAACCCTTTTGATTCCAGAAGTTCCTTCACCGTCAATTTTTCTACTATTACTTCCCATCACAAACACAAACCCAGATTTTGTTTTGTAATATAAAAAATCCTTTAAATCAAACCATCCATCAAAGAAACAGAGTAAAGTAGAAGAAAATATTCATGATTATGAAAAAAAATTGAAAAAAAAAATGAATTCCTTAGATAGAGAAGAAAAAAATAAGAATTTTTTTTTTTTTATGTATGTAAATAGAACACTGCAAAAGAAACCTTTGAAAGTATACTAAGAATTGACTTAAGGTAGAAGAGTGACATTGTTGTTATAGAAACAATGTTGTTTTATGTTTTTTTTTTAATGTTTCATTAACCACTCACTTTCTCTCTCTATATATGGAATTGTCCCTTTTCTATGTTCTAAAGTAAATGAAAAAAATATAGAGTAATGATGGTTGGTTTTATTATTCTCCAATGAATTTGGAAGATTCCACGGTGGAATTTGAATAATTAGTATGGCTCTAGTTTAAAAGAGAATGTTCCCCATGTTATATGATATAAATTTATGGTATGAAAATATCTAGATAAAGGAAAAAAATTAAATTGTATTTAAGTCGTTTGTATTATAACTAATATTGTGATATTATTAGTGGCAACTAATATATATTTAGAATCAAAATATTCTTAACAAATTTTTTTCCTAAATAATGACTAATTACTTTTAAACAATGAGGTAATGATGGTTAATTGTCAAATATAGAAATTAAAATATCCATTAAATGATAATGAAAAAAATTAAATTGTATTTAAGTTGATTGTATTATAATTAATAGTGTGATATTATTAGTAGAAAGTAAAAAAAAATTGAAGATAAATTGTTTTTTTACTCATAAAATAATAAAAAAAATTATATTGTATTTAATTCATTTATATCATATCTGACAGAGGAAAAATAATTTTAAAATAAATTTATAATATGAAATTAAATAATAAATACGATAATATAGACTTTATAATTATAATGGAAAAATGTAATTTTAAATTAAAATATTATTTAGAGTCATGATATATTCTTGTGAAAAACAATTATAAATTAAATGTATTTATTTTTTCCTAAATAATGACTAATTGATTTTTATTCTCAAACAATGGAAATGAGATAATAAAAATATATTAAAATTTTAGGTTCTTTTATTTTATAATTAATATTTTGATATTTTTAGTAATAAATGATATAAATTTATAATTGAAATACAATATAGTCTTTCTAAAAACGGAAAGATAAATATTAATATAAATTTATGATTTGTAACCAAACAATGTGTATAATATATTAATTTAATAATAACAATAATAATAATAATAATAATAATAATAATAATAATAGTGAAATAAAATGTACTTTTAAATATATATAGAGTAGGATGCATTTTTATGAAGAAGGAAAACCAAGATAAATTATAATTTATTTCAAATTTTAATTAAATGAGAAAAGTTTGTATACTATTTTTTTAATCAAATTAAAAAATAATGAAAAATAAAATTATTCAAATGTAATAATAGACGGGAATCTTACTAAAATAAAAGTAACTGAAATAAAACTATAACTTTAATGAAAGCAAGACTATAAGATATGCAATATAATTTATTGTTATGGATTTTAAATATAGTAGAAGATATTTTGATCATAGACTTTACAAATTAAAAGAGTCATTTTAGTATTTAGAAATTTAAATATTTATTTTAAAAGATTTTATCCTAATAAAAATTAATTATATTTTCACAAAAATATCTCTTTAAAGTGATTTTTATGATTTTAGATTTTTTGTTTTTAAAATTATCTTAAAAAATAGAAGGTTAATGTTATTTTGATCGCACACCATGTAATTTACGAAACATGAATGCAATTATTTTTAAAAATAAAATTTTATTAATTAATCATGGAAATTAAATAGATTAATTGTTTTATGATATGCATGACATAATGAAATATGAAATAAATTCTATAATAAAAATATAGAATTGGGAGGTTGATGTTATTATCATGTATATATTGTATTCACGATTCATTTTGACATGGGAAGGAAAGTGAAAGAGGGGTTATCATGAGGGAAAACATTCACATTGGATCAAACACTTACCTAGAGGGAGAGACACCACATATTCACTTAAAATCTTAAGGTGATAGGTGTATGAGTCGTCTTACTTTTTTAAGCCATTGACATCAAAGTAAATGTTTGGAAAAGGAAAAACCACATGAGATGAAAGATTTGGATTGGAATTCAATAAAAAAGGCAGTGAGTACAATTCAGTTGACACTTGCTCCACAGATTAAAATGACTGTGTTGAAAGAAACCTCCCCAAAGAATTTGTGGGATTTGTTAGAAAGCAAATTTGCATCAACCACATTAATCAATAGATTGACGATGAAAATAAATTTATACTCATTGAAGATGGAAGATGAAGGTAATATATTTGATCGTATTAATAAATTTAATGATTTTGTATCTAGAATCATGAATGCAGGGGTATTAATAAATTTAATGATTTTGTATCTAGAATCATGAATGAAGGGGAAGATATCAAAGATGAAGGGGAAGTGCTACTTTTATTGGCTTCATTATCTAAATCTTACAAATCATTAGTGAAGAGTAGGGAAAAGCACACTACAATTAGATGAAATAGTGAAATCATTAAAGGAAAGTCAACAAATGATGGACATTGATCAATCTTCCGAAGAACATCTAGTATTAGTAGCCAAAGGAGGACACAGAAAGAATTATGGTGATCGATATAGTAGAATTTTTCAACCTTTTCAACCAAGTGATATGAGTTATGTCAAGTATCATTATTGTCAACAATTTGGTCACGTGCAATCTAGATGTCTAGAATAAAGATGTGAGACTTTGAATGAATGGAGGATATGTTGTGTTAAAGTGGATACTCATCCAAGCCTCACATCTAATGTGAAGATAAAGGGAGTGAAAGATTATTATAAATATAGAGAGTTAGTTTGATTTTATTTATCACAACAATTCTAGTCTTTTGTTCGTCCAAAAATAGTTGTTGAGAGGGTTTCTATTTTTCGTTCAAAAATAGTTGTTGAGAGGGTTTGTAATTAATAATAAATTTTTGATTGCGAATTTATTTAAACTGATGGGTCATCGGGAAAGTATTCACATTGAGTCAAACAGTCACATAGAAGTCTTTAATAAGTGAGAGACATCACATATTCACTCAAAACCTTAAGGTGATAAGTATATAACTCTTCTTATTTATTAAGTGTTCAACCTCCACTTTTCTAAGCAATATGAGAATTTAGAACTCACACTCTCAGCACAACTCACATTTATTTCCCAACAAATTTATCGGCTATAAGAAAATAAATTAAGTCTAGTGATGTGTGACACGTCAAAGTCGTATAATTAGGACTTTAATATGATTCTATTATGTCCATCATATCGAAGATTATGTTCCTTTTTACTTTTTTTTTTCCTTTGCTATTTTTTAAATCAAATCAAGTTGAATTTGAAATAGGGACTATTTTTGTAAATGAGATAAAATAGAGGGGTAAAATTATAGTTTACTTTTTATATAAAAAAAGAAAAATCTTCTAATTAAGTATTTAAAAAAGATTACAATATTGGTTTGGTATCATCATGGATTACACGAGCTAAATCAACTTGCTTTCATCGTATTAGAAAAGTAAAAGAATATATGAATTTATAATAATGAAAAGAGTTTAAATTGCAAGTTGTTAATTAACTTTTACTTAGAGCAAAGAATTGTGGTTGGATTCTAATTCAATACAGGAAAGTATGAGTTGTTAATTGATTTTGACATTTTGGTTTTGTCTTTTTCTATCTTGTTTTGCTTTGCTTTTTCTTGTGTTTTGTTTGATAAAGTCTAATCAATTAAAGTATTATAAAAATATGAAAAATATTATACTAGTATAATTAATTATGAAAAATATTGATATATTAAGTAATTAATTATAAAAGATATTTGTTTGTTTGTTTGTTGTGATTTTGTTATTAACAAGCAAGCACTCATGATTTGCTGTATTATATATTATATAGTAGTCATGATTTTATATATATATTATAATGTATAGTACATGAAATATAATATAAAGAAAGAAGAGTCTATTAATATCGAATTCACCGATATGAATTTATCTTTTTCTATGTGTGTGCTCCCTTGAAACCAACAAGAAGTTGCACCATCAAGCAGTGACAATAACCCTTGTTGGAAGATCATATGGCTTTTGTGTTAGACTGCTTTTTTGCCTAGAAATTGTAATACATGTATTAGTTTGATGTAAGAGCTAAAAAGGACCCTTCAACAGCTGTTCATGGTTTTGAAAAGACACTCTTTCTTTCAATTTCAAACATAAATTATTATTATTTCATAGTTGGTGTAAGGTAAAGTTCACTAAAATAATTTTCTTATACCTTCAAAAATATATATAGAAAATTATTTGATGAATTATATCTTCTATTCTATTATTTTCAAAATTAAACTAATAAAATCTTATTTAAAACAAATATGAGTTTAACCATCATGTATTAAGTGGAATATACCCCTTTTTGCCTATCGACAAGAGATAGTTTCTAATTTATCGATAATCATTAGACATGTTACTCAATCTCATAATCATGATAGTTAGTCTTGACGTTTTTCTAAAGATGGTGTATTTTATATTGCTCCGACTTATCTAGGGCTTTATCAAAATGAGTGTTACGCTATTTCCTTAAGAATCATTGTCAACCCGGCTCTTCCTTTATTTTAGATAGTTGAATTTCCTTTAAAATGGTTGTTTCCTCTTTGTAATTTCTTCTTCAGATGATTTTCACTAGATATAATATCATTTATCATAGGATGCTAGTTGATCTCGAAGGTGTCTTTTGTCTAATTTGTAAAAGGACTTGAGAGTAAGTTATCCTCATATTTGTAACATGTGATTGACCATTGTCTATTTGGTAAAGTATTTTTAGATGGTTAGAATGGTGCTTTGTTCTCTATAAGGATCTCACCACCATATTTTCCTTCTTACTTCGTTGGGAAGTAAGC